GTATGTATATATATATATATATAGTGTTTTTAGCTCTGTTGTATGCCAGTCAGAGTCACTTGTTTGTGAGATGGGCAGCCATGTAAATTTGGCAAATAAATAAATAAATAAAGTCACTTGGATAATTAGTGAGAACTTCAGAATATAAGAGATTTGGGATTGGAACTTTTCAAACTCATGATGATGATGATCTATATTTAAAGAGTACTACGTCTGTGTTCTAAAGAGTACTTGTTGGATCTCAACCAGCATTTAATGGTTATTAATGAATAGCATTTTACACACAACAGAGATGGATTCTAACTGTGTATGATGTTACAACTATGTTTTTAAAAATGGAAAGCCTTAATTTGACAATTGAAAATTTTATTAAAAACTGAAAATAATAACATAGTATCACAATTACGGTGTTTTCAGAGAACATTTGTTTTGGTTCCCTTCTGGAGAAGTTTTGGCTGTTCAATTACAGGCCTCATTGCTTCTGTATTGTATTCAACTGAAATGTCAGAATTAAAAACAAACACACAAATCTAATGTTTACTGCTGCTCATTGGGCTGTTTATCCTTTGTGACAGAAATCTCTATTATACTTCAAGTGCACTGAGTACTTGGTCTATTCTTCTTTTTGGAAGCAGGTTATGCTCCATGATTCATTCCTGCAGATAGCAAGCAAAGCAGATAGCTAATGAGAAAATGGAAGTTTTAAGAGCCGTTTAAAAAGTTCAGCATGGGAATTTTAAAGAAAGCCTCATAAGAAACAACAGCTTGGGTCAAATGAAGCAATCATTTCAGCATCATTCATAGAAGTTGATGTGATCTGGTTAGACTGATATATCCAGGAAGACCTGACTTCAGTCTTCTATAAGAGATACTTTTTGTTCTGCTAAGACTGCAAGAATGCATATTTCACAGAATGCATGGTTGAACTGCTTAACATAGCATAATAAAACAAAATGGAACAATAGCGTGTGGTATTTTCTGGCTTCTGTTTTCCAGATGCCTTTTCTTCACAAAGAGAAATACATAAAATGATGATTGTAGGCCTTTCCCCAGCTTCTTAGTGGGTATGCTTAAGCAAAGGGCAGATTATATTTCAGATGCTCCAATTATTTCTATCAGATAATAGCTTCCATGTATATTAAATGCATGAAAAACATGGAAAATTAGATACTGTTTTTTGTGGGGTGTCTTTGTATTCATGCTTAAAAAGATATAGTTGGCTAGAAATTCATATTCAGATCATGCAGCCTAACTGTTGACCACCCTGGGCAGTTAAAAAGATAAAAAGAGATAAAGCAGGATTGTGATCTGAAAGATTAACCCTTAATCTTGGTGAGATGAAATCCTGATTCTGCAATAGAGAGAGAAAGAAAGAGACAGAGAAGCTATATACATTTTAAAAAGTGCATGTTACTTGCCTTCAGACAACTGATTTCAACTTAAATAGCCTTTTCAACTGAACTTTGGTTCACATAAGCAGGAAGAGACAAAGGTTTGTTTTCCAGTGCTCCATCTAGGGCCAGTCAGGGTGGGCAAAAGGGTACCAACTATTCTCTTATATTTTCAAGAGAGTTTTATGCCTGATTCAAAGTATCAACTCATTTTCAAAATCAGACTTCCCCCCCCCCTGCCCGAGGGGAAAAAAACAAACAAACATTATGCTATTTAGCTAGCTTCCCAAAATAAGTGCTGGTTGGATTGTGAATAACTACATTTTCTAACAGATGTTTTCATAGCTTTGCACATTGGAAACACTGGAGTCCTCTATTTATACTATTGTCCAGATTGATAGCCATTATACTGTTATGTCAAAATACATCCCTCATCCTTTTTGTCCCCAGCTCTTTTTTTCCTACCAGTCCACATAATTGATACTGTACTTATCACTGTAGCCAGACTTCCTAGTGCAATTTATTTACATGCATATGAATTACCATGATTGCATAATGCCTTCATCAACATAAGCTGTATTCACTTAAACTGCTTATAATAGGGGAGTTGTCATCTCTAATTTATCAGGCAATCATTTCAACAATAGTAAAGAGGTGCAGGAATCAAATCTATAGCTCATTGCTTGTCTCCTAAGTACACTAGAAGGTTGTTAATTAAGTGGTTGGGGGTATGCTTGAAATGACTTAATGGTTTTTTGAACTGGTATCTTTGGAAAAAGACTTTGAGATCTTTGTAGTTATTCCTGAGATAACTGATATTTGTGAACTTTATGTATAACCAAGAAGGACTTTTTCTTCTCCAACAGAAAAAACTGTCATCACTAACCCACCTTGCGATATGGATGTTACTGTTGGAGAAAGTATAGTTCTGCCCTGTCAAGTATCCAGGGATCCATCCATTGAGGTTGTCTTTTCATGGTCATTCAATGGATATCTTATTGATTTTAAAAGAAGAAAGGCTCATTTTGAAAGAGCTGGAGGTGTAAGTTTAGTTCAATCATTGTGTGCATCTATTTTTGTGTACACATTTAAAAACATCTCATTTTGAAATCACATGAAAAATAGTTTTAAAATTTTCCTCTGTAAACAACATAAAGGGACATTTTTTAAATGTGTGTTTGTAAACTATATGTGTGTGAGAAATGTATAGTTAGGCATCTATCGTCTATCCAATTATCTTCTAGTAGTAAGTCTGGCACTGCATACTTATTTGAATCTATTATCAGGCCTAAATGATCATAAAAAAAAAGAGTATTTCTATAAATGCTATGCTTTCTCTGTACTTTGGATGCTTTAAGAAACTGAACAGTTAGAGGATCACTTTTTTTCCATGGAAAGGGCAAGTAGCAACCATGGAAAAAGTTGAAAACCTCCAAAGATTCAAAGAGATCTCTTATGACTTCTTTTAAAGAAGACATTGCCTCCAAATGTACAGCTGAGATCTTATGTATAGAAATAGTTGCAAATCTCTACTGGTGTTATATTTCTAGAGGATATTTCCAGCACAGGAACTCTGAGTGGCTGCAGTAATTAAAGAAATATTCAGTCTAGGTATCTCAGTGTTCTTTCTTACAACTAAGGGGAAGCTGACTCAGTCCTACCATGAGGAGGAATGGAGCACCTTCTTCTAAAACATGCTTGATAGAATCTTATTATACTACACGTGTACTAGTAATTGGTCCTGAGTCCCCAAAACTCACTGTATGGGTATGTTTCTTCTAATTTACTTTTGAGTCCATTTCCAAAATCTACTCAGTGGAAGCTTTATTGCTTTATATAGCCAAATCCATTTAGCTTTTGCTTTCAGTGTTGGCATTATTTGTGGGAAGCTGTAATAAAAGTGTTTGAATGAAAGAAATGGATGACAGTAATGTATAATTCAATTTTAAAACTGCATCTTTATTAATATTTAGCAAGTTACAGAAATATCCATTATGGGAAATGCATCATGTGTGATTAGATGTTTGTGTTCTTTTTATATAAAGGAATCTGTAGGGGATCTGATGATAAGAAATATTCAGCTAAAACATTCTGGAAAATACACATGCACCGTCCAAACTTCGATGGACATTCTATCAGAATCAGCAGAAATAATTGTAAGGGGTAAGTCTATAAACTGTAAAACTTCAGCTAACTATACAGAAGAGCATGATACTCTGAAATTTCAGAGAAGCTGGTTAAATGAAATGTGCATATCTGATGATCAGATATATGTCCTACTATTATATATTCCCTTGAGACTAAAATTTGCTCAGTAGGCAATTGACTAATTCAGATGGAAGTAGTAATACACATGATTTCTTCCTCCTGTTATCTTCACTCTCTTCTTTTGAGAATGTATGTTGCCCTAAAGGCTGACCTATAAATATTAGAGCCAAGAATTATTTAATCTTGAATCATTTGATGAAGGCTGGAATGGAAACGGAAACTGAGATTTTATCTGGCTAAGGTATGATTGTTTAGATGTGATTGGGAAAGAAAGCCACTCCCAGGGGTACCAGTCAAGAAATAGGTGTGAACATAAATATTGTTGAAAGTGGCTGCTTCGCAGATTTGATCTTGGAAACTTAATTTGCCATATTCCCACCGTAGGCTGGAATTGATTCACATATCCTCTAGGCAGCTATTAGAAGATAGGGGAACTATAGGATACCTTGTATTTTAGCAGATATGACAATAATGGGTTCATTCCATATTAACTGGAAGTAGCAAAATGAAATAGGAATGGAAGTTTGGATTTTAGTGTTTATTTCATTTATATAATCTGTTGATTCCAGTCATAAGACCATTTAAGGGATTTTGTGGCTACAGACAGATGGGAATCATTTTGTATAATTGACTAAAAAGTGGAGAGAAAAAAACTTTGTGTAGTTTAGTTTGCATTATTTTGAGAGGGATGAGGAACTGCTGGCAACAGAAGCTGCTGAACTACACCTCCCAGTCAGCATGACTACCTTTGAGATACCCCGGGTATTGTTTTTTCTCAGTTTCAGGAAGGTCTTAAGCCTCGATCTTAAAGAATCTCTCCAAATCAAATCTACTGTATATAGGTATTCAGGTAAGATCCTCTCGCCATTAGGGCACATACTAGATGGCTGAAGGGAATACCTCATGTGTATCTCAAACAACCCCCTTTGATCAGGTGAATTAGTACTAAGTTGGCCAGTAAACTCTAAGGAGCAATAGGTTTTCAAACAATTCTGCTAAAATAACATGGATCTTTTCTTTCAATTTCAAAGGCATTCCTGGCCCACCGAAGGAGGTTAGTACTGAGCATGTTTCTAGTACCACTGCAGTGTTGAACTGGAAATCAGGAGCAGATAATAACAGTCCTGTCCACACATACACAGTTCAGACAAGGACCCCTTTTTCCATTGGATGGCAAGCAGTTTCAACAGGTACATATTTCCAACTTACATTCTATGCTGTTTTCAGCTGTTAGGTCTCTAATCTTTTTCTTCTTTGTTTTTGTTAAGTTCCTGAAGTTATTAACGGGAAGACCCACACAGCTACAGTGGTTGATCTAAACCCCTGGGTTGAATATGAGTTTCGAGTTGTTGCTGCCAACAGTGTTGGAATTGGGGAACCGAGCACACCATCTGAGCTACTAAGAACCAAAGCATCGAGTAAGCTACTTAAAATATTGTTGATGGGTTTAGAAGCTCTTCAAATGCAGCTTTACTCATTATAACATTAAATCACAATGGCTTACTTTTCAGTAACCTTCAAAGCACAATAAAGGGATTTGAAGGTTATTTGTATTTATTTTTTATATTTCTCTGTCCCCATTTTCCAGCTAAATATTGGCAGCTAAAGTACTTCACATTAATTTAAGACTAATAATAGCTAAACTGCAATATAAAATCTTCCATAATGGGGGAAAAATTCAGGGCAGGGGGGAGAGGATGCCAAGGGTGCCAGACAATGCTCTCTTTTTCTTTTGATCACTTATCACACCTTGGAGGGGGGTTTTCAACTGCTCCTAGATCCAGCCATGAAGGAAAAGTGCCTTGTGGTATTATTATCTCTCTTCAATAAAATATTTCTTTTTAAAGGGTATAATTATATATCCATTTTCCTGGTCTAAGCCTTATTGTACTTGCTTAAACTTACTTCTGTACAGATGTATAGAATAGCACTGAGAAAGAAAGAAAGAAAGAAAGAAAGAAAGAAAGAAAGAAAGAAAGAAAGAAAGAAAGAAAGAAAGAAAGAAGGAAGGAAGGAAGGAAGGAAGGAAGGAAGGAAGGAAGGAAGGAAGGAAGGAAGGAGAAATCAGTAAATTCTGTTGGATATTAATCAGCACATTTATACTAGTATATATAACATTTATAGTATTAACATAGTTATATAATACTGACATACACGCAACTATCTGAATGCATACAATCCTACTCATTAAGACTTTCCTAATGTATTTGCACACATACATTTCCTAAAATGTGCATTATTTTTATACATATTTTTCAAGACTTTTTTTTTTTCCCAGTTGCAAACCCAGGAATATTTGTAGGCTCGAGCTGCTTTCAGTAAAATGGCAAAGGCAGCATGATGCAATCATGCCACAGGCTCTGTGCCTTTAGCATGTACAGCAATGGAGATACAAAAGGGGTGGGGCTTGAATCTAGTGGTACAATGCTGCTTTCATCAGATTAATTGGTTTAAAGGCCCCAGTGGATGCTGCTGTGTAGACCTCATTGATTAAAAGGAAAAAAAAAAAAAAAAGACTGGCATCAGTGTACAAAACTTAGTGCATATATGCATTCCAGTTCTTTTAACTTTTACCAGATTAACAGCAAAAATTACATCCTTTTCTATTCCTAGTTTTTTATCAGAATATATATGTGTTTGTATGTGTATATGTATATGAAGACAGTTGTGTGTAGATATAAAAGTATTAAGTGGCCATTCCTTTCTTTCTCTCCCTCCCTTTGGGGGGAATGGAATGATGGCCAGCAGCCCCCCACACCACCTCCAGCCCCGCAAAAAAAGATTCTTAAACCTGGCACTGTCCATGGATCTATTTCAGCAACTTGCTTTTCCATCTTGTTCAGAAATGTGAAATACTTAAAAGAGTTTCTTAACACACTGCTCAGTAACACAACCAATTCAAGTAAATGTTCAACCCTTATGCCTGCTGTTTGGAGCTTTTGTGCCCTAGTCTCTGATTACTGCTACTGCTTAATGTAATGTTGGTGTGTAAAAAAACTTGCCTTGATTTATTCATGGATAAGAGGGCTGACTTGCTATGCATTACTGAAATTTGCTTGGGCACAGAGGGGATGGGTTTGAGTGTGGCACCCAGCTGTAACTCTTAAGCAAGATGTCAAGTGGCTACTATCATCTAAGAAACTTGTAGCTGCCAGTATCTGTATTGGAAATAACTAGATGTGAGACCCTGTTTGTGAAGTTAATTGGGTCTACTGCTTTTATATCAGCCTCCCTGTTGCATAGTGGCTTCCCTACTGAGTGCTTGATGACATGACTGGGCTGCCAGTACAGTTTCCCAGACTTATGCTACTGGCAGACTTCAAACTGGCTACTCAGAGGCAGAGGCAGCTAGAGAGTTCTGTTCACTTTGAAAGAAGTGGTGGTTCACCAACTCCTGAAGAAGCCATCACTGGATCCAACAGAACTGCACAACTTTCATCCAGTCTCCAACCTTTCCTTTTTGAGTCAGGTTGTTGAGCAGGTGGTAGGATTACAGGTTCAAAGCGCCCTGGAGGAAGTGAATTACCTAGACCCTTTTTAGTCAGGTTTCAGTCTAGATTATACAGTAGTTCCAAGATGGCATTGATTGCACTTACAGATTTCCTCTGATGGACCTAGGACAGGGGTAGTGCACCTATCCTGGCCCTCCTTGATATCTCAGTGAATTGATACCATTAATCATGGTATCATTTTGGACTGTTTAGAGGTTTGGGCCTAGAGGTCACTGTTTTACACTAATTCTCCTTCCTCCAATGCTGCTCTGTCAATGTTCATAGAGGGAGAGCTCTAGCACTAGACCCTGCAATATGAGGTGGCAGCGGACTATGGTCTCTCTCCACTCCTATTTAACATCTACATAAAGCTGTTAGGTGATGTCATTTGCTGACACAAAGTTAAATAACATCAGTATGCTGATGATGCTCAACTGTACGTCCCTGCCCTTGGCTGGCTAAGTGATATTGTCAAGGTTCTTTCCCAGTGCCTGGAGACTGTGAGAGACAAGATGGGAAGAAGAGACTTTGACTCAACTCCAGAAATACTGAGTGGCTGTGGGATTTAGAGCCCTCTGATTCTGGTGCTTTACCACCTTTGACTCTGGATGGAGTAACACTCCCTCAGACAGAGCTGGTGCACAATTTGGAAGGCTTTCTAGACTTGTGGCTACTCATTCAAGGAGCAGGTGGCAGCTGTGGCCAGTAGGGTCTTTGCACAACTTGATCCTGTGTGTCAGTTATGCCTATTCCTAGATCAGGAGGCTGTGCTCATGGTCGCTTATGCTTTAGTCACCTCATGGATGGACTACTGCAACACACTCTATATTGTGCTTCCCCTGAAGAGCATTCAGAAACTATAGCTGGTCCAGAATTCAATGTTGTGGGCAGTTTGGAGTTCATCATAGTATGCCGATGAAATATCACTGCTTTACAAGCTGTACTGCTTCCCAGTAGACTTCCAGGTGCAATTTAAGGTGCTGGTGGTCACTTGTTTCAGAGACCTGTTAGAAGAGACAAGAAGTATTACAAAAACATCTGTAAAGATATTGAAGATGGTAACAGACGTGGAAAAATGGAAAGTTTCCTTCCAAAAGACTTCTGAACTCAGAAGGAGATTCCAGCCTGGAACTGGTATGCTAAAGGATGCCAATGGACAGATAGTAACCAATTCAAAGTAGATCAAACTAAAATCGAAGTATACTGAAACACTGTACAGACCTCAACATCCAAGATACCTTAGATATTCTGTACTTACTAGAACCTCTAGTATTAGAAGTTAGATCAGCACTCCACTCATTACCAAATCAAAGGGCTACAGGAATAGCCTTTTGATGACTATTTCTGATGGAATACCCACACAAAAATGGCAAGCAGCAGAAGAGGAATCAGCCACATTTCTAGCCAAGCTATGCCAGCAAATTTGGAGAACAATACAGTGGCCAACAGATTGGAAGAGGTCAATCTACATTTCAATATCAACAAAGAAGACTTAACAGAGTGTGCAAACTGTCATACAATATCCTAATTTCACATGGTAGCAAAATACTGTTTAGGATCATCCAATGCAGATTAGAGTCCTACATGGAAAAAGAGATGTGAGATTTCAAGCTGGCTTTAGGAAAGACCAAGGAACATGAGACATTATTCCAGATGCATACTGGATAATTGAGAAAGCCAAAAAAAAAAAAAAACCCCAAAAATAAGTCTTATGCTTCATTGATTATAGAAAGGCCTTTGATTGTGTCAATCATATCAATTGTGTGGAAAGTGCTCAGAAAAATGGGAATCCCAGAACATCTCATTGTCCTCATGGGAAACTTAAATGCAGGTCAGGAAGCCATAGTACAGACAGAATATGGTGAAGCAGACTGGCCTCAGGTTGGCAAAGGAGTGTGACAAGGCTGTATACTCCCCCCTTATTGATTCAGCCTATATGCTGAATTATATTAAGGGAAGCTGGATTGGAAGAAGATGAGGGTGGTTTAAAATTGGAGGAAGAGACATCAATAATGTGCACTATGCTGATTATACTACTCTGATAGCCAAAAATGTAAAGGATCTTCAAGCCCTAGCAATATAATTAAAGAGCAAAATGAAAAAAAAGGGACTAAAATTAAATATAAAGAAGACCAAACTAATGACAACAGTTAGAACAACCAACCTTAGAATTGGAAATGAAGATATTGAAGTAGTAAAAAGCTTCTGCCTTTTAGGATCAACCATCAACAGTAAAGGAACAAGTAGTCAGGAAATATGCTTCAGACTAGCACTTGGTAAAGCAGCTATGAAAGCCTTGGAAAAGATATTCAAATGCCATGATATCTCCATATCTACAAATATCAGTATTGTGCAAGCCATGGTATTAGACATGGTGACAATTTATGAAAGAGAAAGTTGGCCTTTAAAGAAGCAGGATAGGAAGAGTATTGACTCTTTTGAACTTTGGTGTTGGAGAAGACTCTTGAGAATAATGTGAACAGCCAAGAAAACAAACAAATGGATCATTGAACAAATCAACCCAAGAGTTCTTACTTGAGGCACAAATGACCAGAATAAATTATCCTACTTAGGACATGTTATGTGAAGACCTGGGTCTGTAGAGAAGGCTCTAATGCTGGGAAAGGTAGAAGGAAAGAAAAGAAGATGATGACCAGCAGCAAGGTGGATTGACTCAGTTACAGTGGTGATGAGTGCACTGTTGGAAGACCAGATTAGAAATGATAACCATGTAGAAAATCTATTTATGTGGTTGCTAGAAGTAAAAAAATGACTTGATGGCACAGAATCAATTACATGGCACAGAATCAGGTTATTTGCAGTACCACCTCTCTGTCTCTCCTACCATATCTAGCAGGATAGGCATGCTTTAGGTCCCTTATGTGAAACAATGTCCTCTAGTGGAACACAGGAAGTATGCCTTTTCTGTCATGCAGCTTGCCCAATGGAATAACATCTCCCCCTGAGATCTGGATCACCCCATCCTTGTTTGCCTTCCAGAAAGCCTTGAAGACCTGGTTTTTCCCTCAGGCATTAAGACCAGGTTGTAAACTAAGCCTAGCATGTATGGAATTATTACTGTTTATTGTAATTACTGTAAATACAGTTTTCTTCATATATCATTGTGTTTTTATGTTTTCTGTTGTGAGGCACCTAGAGTCACTTGACTGCAATGGGTAGCTACATAAACTAAATAATTAAATAGATAAATTTAATTCTACAAAGAAATATAAAAGTCAGCCCACCCTATGGTTGTTTTTTTACATAAATTAAGGGTATATCAATTGTTCCTCTGCTCATTTTTTATCATAATTGCAAACTAAATAAATAAATAATTATATATGTTATTGGACTTACCATTCTTCCTCTGAACCTGTGCACCCATCGAATTTGCCCTACACCCCCTATATAGCAGTATATTTTATCAGAGAGGGGAAACCCATCTCACTCCTTGATTACCAATACTGAACACATTCCAAATATTCAGAAAGCTTAATATTCTCAGCATATAATTGTTTAACTAAATATGTTAAATGGAACCTATATCATTTCCCCCCCTTTTTATGCTACTTAGAGTATTTTATATGCTGAAACATTCTAAAGAGAAAGCAGAAAGGGATAGGGATTTTTTTCAACAAAAGTTATTCAAATGACCTTTAATGAACAGCTTTATTCATGTTAGATATCTCCTTTGTAGGAGTGTTGAAATCTACAGTATGGAAGATACAGAAATAAAACAGCAGCTTTCATGTACTATGCAGGACCTAGAGATTTGGATAAACCCCACTCACTTTAGCTATATAAGTGTTCCAAACACAATAGGGAACAAATTGTATTTTGTAGCTCTCTGCTAAATGGTTAGATTGCTAATTAAAATCAGCCTCAGAGCAACAGGTGTGACAAATGGTAATAAAAGGGGGAATGGAGAGTTTGTCTTATAAGGTCTATATTGCCAACTGAAACCTGATCATGCATTGATACTTTTTCTAGAAGCAAATGAGCCACCACTCATTTCATTAAAATGGAACTAAGAATTAATTGTGCAGTTAACTGTAAATTTTCATCTGATTCTCAACTATGATCCAGTTGAGGCTTTGTTGAGCAGTGGTATAAATTTCTTTTCCGTGCAAATACAGTAAATACTTAACTTATTTAATGCAAGCTCTAATTGAGCATTAACTAGTTCATTGGACAGTGGAATGTTAGCTGTGCTTGGCTTAAAAGTCTCATTTTAATTCTTCATTTTAGTTAATCATCCCATTCCCCTTTCCCATGTTTGGCAACTCCAAAACAATTCACTCAAAGTTATTGATAACAGCAAAATTTGACAATGTATTTCGATCAAAAAATAAAATATAAATTTATTTTGGTGAATATAGAGTATCTAGCAGTAAAAGAAATCAGAAATTTGTCAAAGATGAAAAGGTTATGTTTCTTGGCTATACTGTAGATTGGAAGTCAAGATATGTTGAGGCATTACTATACAAGAACTATAAGGTATCCAGTAGCTCATGATGTGGATAATTTTGTGGCATTGGTGGTAACAGATATATCTACACAAAAGTAAATCCTATGAGTTCAAGTACAGTTAGTTCTCGACTTATGACCATTCATTTAACAACCATTCAAAGTTATGATGGTGTTGAAAAAAACTGACTTACAACCATCACAGCATCCCTGCAGTCACATGATTAAAATTTGGGTGCCTGACAACCAGTATGTATTTACGACAGTTGCAGAGTCCTGGGGTCACATGATCACCATTTGCGATCTTCCCAGGGAGCTTCCAGCAAGCAAAATCAGTGGGGGAAGCCAGATTCACTTAATGACTGTGGCAAAAAAGATTGTAAAATCAGGTGTGACTTACATAACAACTGCATCACTTGGCAATGGAAGTTCTGGTCCCAATTGTGGTTGTAAGTCAAGGACTATCTGTAAGTGGGTATAGGATTCCAGCCTATCCAGAAGTCCCCTATAGATGCCTATTGCTTCAGATTGATTTCAGTGAGATGATCTATGACAGAGACATTAGTTATATCACAATGACAGCTGGCTGGGTTTTCTGGAAACTGCTATCCCAATGGATGTCAAAACCAAGCCCCAAATCTTGATGGAGCTGGACTACCAGCATAATCTCCCTGTTAGATTCAATGTACAATTTCCACATTTTATTTGTAGATATAGTCGTGGTCAGTTCAAATAAGAATACAGTGAGCCAGAGAGTAGTGGAATTCAGTAACCTATTATTCTTTTCCCATAGCTAGCTGTGGTGATATAAACCTCTCTGTCACTTTGGATTTCACATTATCCCCTTCCTTTCACAAAGCCATGCATGCATATGACAGATTTTTTTTAAAAAAATATAAATGTCTGTTGTGTGTGTGTGTATGTGTTTCTTTCTGTCAGTTCCTACAGTGGCACCCACAAATGTGAGTGGAGGTGGAGGAAGCCGATCTGAACTTGTCATCACATGGGAGGTAATTTGTAAATCAATCTCAATTCTTCAAGATAATGAATGGAACCTATAATACAGCTCTAACAAAATCACTTTGTTGTGCCATTGTTAGCAATTTAGAAGAGTAAACTGAGAGAAATGTGGTAAAGATATTTGGAAGTCATCTATAGCCCGCTTATCATTGTTATGCAGAAGGCAGCTTAACATTCCAATCTGTCTGAGTGTTTTCCGCATGAAACACTTTACACAGTTTTATTTGCTTGTCAGTCCCTCCACCCTTTTTATTTTGGAATATAATAAGTTATATCTTGTCATACATAAAAAAAAAAAAAAAGGATTAGGCCTTTCAGTATCAAGTACCACTGTATGAATATTTAGCTGGCAAACAGAAAATTCATACATAAGACTTCAACCTAGGTTTATTTACTAGTGAGTAAGTTCCAATGAAATCAACATGGATTTCTAGTGAACGGTGACTTTGGAGGATAGTGAAGAAACACTCCAGCAAGGATAACCCAAAGTATTTCCCTGCCTAAGATCTGATGTTGCCTCTTATTCCTTTCACGTACGCTGACTAGACTCATAGTTAGATTTGGGTTTTTCACTGCTCATGGGACAGTGTTCTGCATCACATCTGAGGATAAAAGTTTAGCTTATGAGGATGCGCAGGGAACGTGTCACCCATAACTCCATGTTTCATTATCTCAGAGCTGACTCCTGCCTGCCAGAGTCAAACAAGCAACTCTCTTGCATTATCTAATCATAGGTATGGCCTGCTTTCCAGCAAAGCAGGAATAATAATCTCTACAACTCCATAGTGCACGTTCTCTATAGCATTTATGGGTTTAGTTTTCAAGCTTGCTTTTAAATAGTGCTACCAGCTGAATACTTATTGTCTGTATATGTATGTATGTATGTATGTATGTATGT